CCCCCCCCCCCCCCCCCCCCCTCAAACACCAGACATCATTTAGACTTTGGTTTGTAGGTAAAAAATGGTTGGTGCATTATAGTCTTGATTTAGTCCAGAAATAGCTTTTGAAAGTTGTTCGGTTTGATTTTGTCCCACCTAAGTCCAATAATAGACGTTAAAAAGATGTTGAAAACCCAATTTTCTGTCTTTTTTAGCTGACTTTTCAATTATCTGAAAATTACAGCTCTTCACCTTCACTTTTTAACCAAATAGACATCATTTGGACATAAATCATGAAATCTTTCAACCAATTTTTGCTCGCTGGGTCAGAAGATTTCTATAATCCATGTTATTTTTGAGTTTGGATCACTAATCTGAATAACTCAGCAATAGCTAATTGTTGTGATTCACAGCAACTTTGCTTTGCTTAAGTCAAAAAAAGACTTGCTACCTTTAATGTAAATAGGTCAAACGTTTTTGCTTAAAAAGTTGATAATTTTAGTTGGCAAAACTTCAGTGTACACCACTTAAACACTTTGTAAACAAAAATATACAGGGTTTTAATAACGCCTACATAGTTGATTGAATATTGGTTCATATTTCTGTCGTCTATACCTGCTTATCTCTGCTCATACGGGCTGGTACTTTTCTCTGCAGTCATTGAGCTAGAGTAGGGTTCACCAACATGGTGCCCATGGGCACCAAGGGGCCCTCAAGGACCACATGGAGTGCCCTTAGAGTCTTCTGAAAATAGAATGACTCAACAGTGAGCTACGTTTGAAATTTCACTGTATTCTGTTGCTCTTCTTTTTTTAATTGGGTTATAGAACATTTAATCATTTAATCATATATGGCATTTAAGCAGTTATAGAGATTTATAGAGATTTCAAAATGAAAATATATGTCTAAAAGAAAATTAGAAATTTAAAGAAATGATAAAGATATGTTTATGATGTATGAAGGTTAGGTGAACGTTGACCCTTGCAATTCATAGGTCAGTATTGGTAGCCCTTCCTGTGACTCAGTACCCCTGAAATAGCCCTCAACTGTAGAAAGGTTGGTGACCGCTGAGCTAGAGGTAGGGTACTCATGAAGAAGTCAACAGTGTTTAAAATATGCTTCTAAAAATAACCCCGTTCTAAAATATATATTTTTAGAAATACTCTTGTATTAGTAGTACACGTAATATTATTTTTATATGTTCTGATTCGCAGTAGGTCTTCTATTGAGCCTTTAACCACAAGTCTTTTGGAATAGTCTGAGAGTTTTATGAGACTGCAACTGGAAGGAGTGCCGACTGAAATAAGAAAACAAATGGTTTCGTTTAACAGATAATCAAAAAATTTACTTTTCAGTTTCTTTGAAATGTTGCCTTAGTAAGCAACTATTTCTGAAAGAGCTATGAAAAATTGTTGGAACTATGCAAGTACAGAATTCATAAACAAACATAACTGAGTTATAAGTCAAAATATTCACAAGATTTATAAATATCGAAACCTAGATCACAGTAAAGTCACTAAAACCACCAGTTAACACTTTACAATATGAAGTGCTGAGCAAGCTAAACCATCGGAAGAGATATCATTATTTCAGTAAAGTTTGTAATAGAGGAGCAACGAAAATCAAAACTGTGTAAGGCAGAGTTAAAAAATGGTGCTTTGTAGCTGCTGCAAGCTAAACAGACTGAATGTCATTAACATTTAAACTTCTTGTTCTAAGTATAACTTACTACTATTTTTTTTTGTTGTAAACACCTTTCATAAAGTGTTGACAGTACAAAAAGGCTTCAAAGAAGTCTTGTCTCGGTTGAATGCCTTCCACATCACAAATGTCGGGCTCTGATCGGCTTATTTCAACCTACAGTGTCGGTCAAATGGCTACAGAGGAAAAAAAAAAAAAGCATTTTATGCCCTTTTGTTTTTTGCTGTTTCCTCCTTTAGTCACTCCTTTTATGATGCCTGACAGGTGGTATCAGTTTCTGTAAAATGTCTTTGAAAGGTTTACACACACACACACACACACACACACACACACACACACACACACACACACATACACACATGTTACAGTGACAAAACACACTCACTCCCACCTATGCCAGCCTTGTTCCATCAAACCCCCCTCCTCCCCCCACCGTTTACGGTAACTGCGTGTTTTTGTCATCTGTGGGCCTGGATGAAGTGATGATGTTAGTTTTGGTATCAAGTCAATGGCTGTGCATCTCCACACCGACAGATACTGAGAGTACTGCAGTGTGGCAAGGCGTAGGAGGGCTGTGACAGAGATGACTCAGCTCTCTCTGTTGCCGGGCAGAGTAAAGCTCTCCCAAACCCATGCAATACAAAAAAAGAGAAAAAGATACTTAGCTAACCAGTCATCGGTCATTGTGGAGCCATCCAGGGTGAAAGTTATACAAATATCAACAGAATATGATTTGTAATTGATTTTGATATTTTGGCTTTTTTGTTCCTTCATGATTTTGGAAAAAGTTTAATCTGACGTACAGCTAACGTCTACAGCCTACATGTATAATTCAAACTTTTGTTGAATAAAAAATATCACTGCATCTATAAAAGCTTTTGTTTGTACCTCAAAACTTTTGCATAATGAAATTGATTCACACCTGAAAACATGCTGGATTAACTCTGGTCCAGTTATTGTTATTTCGGTCACACACAATGGG